AAACATAGGCTAACCGCTAACTCCACTGGCAAAGCCACTCATTTTCATTCATTTTCCCTATGAGTTAAGTACCATGACTGGGGGGTTAATCCACCATTTTCAGATAGACTCATTATATCTGAGTCCCAGTCTTCAAAAGTACAACATCCATGTTCTATGGTTACCCTCTGGTAATTGAACAGTTTGCTATTGAAAATGGCAATTTTCTAGTTGATTTTCCCATAAAACATAGTGATTTTCCCATCAGTTTTTTGAATGTTTACCAGAGGGTACAACCCAGAAGCAATAAGCTGAACATGGAGATTCATGGCAGAATCGTCCCAATGAGTTCGTGACCAACGAATTTGTTGGCCTCATTTGGGCGTGGCCTGATATCGAGGGAATGAGATTGATATAGATTGATATAGATTAATGCAGATTGAGATCTAGATCAACATAGATTAAGATAGATTAATATATATATATGTGTATATATATATGTGTATATATATATACATATATAAATACATACCTATATATACACACATATATATATAGATAGATCAATATAGGTAATCATAGATTAATGATTGGTATCATCAGTTTTTTCTCCGCTTCGTTCCCCGGACGGTTCCCCTTGGGTTCCCCCAACTGAGCAAGACATGTCCGAAAGGGACACAGCACCCAATGCGCAAGCGATGGTCAAGGTTCCAGTGTACCTGGAGCCGTGTCCGAAAAGAAGTCATCTGGGTAGCCTCTGTAGGCTGGAAATGGATGGTTTACCCTCTGGTAAAAATTTAGATAGCTGTAGAAAATCACCATTAAATGGCTAGAAATGGTGGTTTAACCTATAGAAATGGTGGTTTAACCACCGAAATGGTCATCTGGGTACTACCCTCTGGTAATGACTAACATAGCTATGGAAAGGTACCCAACAGTGATTGATGGTGGTTAATATATGTTAATATCCATTCATTAATCGTGGTTGATGTTGAGAATGGGAGAAACAAATGGATTAGTCTCTGGTAATGACTAACTGTTTGCGAACTGGAAAATGGCCCATTTATAGTTGATTTATGTTGATTTACCAATTAAAATTGTGATTTTCCATAGTTATGTAAACGCTTACCAGAGGGGAACCCAATGGCTGGCTTTATGGATGGTAGAAATTTCGTCGGAAATCGACTATTGAACTTTGGGTGATTTGGATCTTTTGGTACGGGTCATTACTGTACATCTATGGAAAGATCCTGGAAAGATAGAGGAATAATAATCATCTAAAGGCGTCTAATGGGATACATAACGGACTAGAATGGAGATAGATAGGGGTTGGTAAATGTCCTCATTGACGATCACCCAGTAAAAGGGGATAGGTTCTGCAGGTTCCAAAGTCATGGGGGAACCCCCAAATCATCCATGTCATTAGATGACGAATTAGTATTGAAACTTGAAACCTGTGGTGACTTGGGGATCCCCCGTTTCAAGAAACACCCCATACGGGGATATAATCTCCAACAAATACGGTTTCAAATGATCTACATAAAACTCCATATTTGGGGATGGGTAAAAACAACCTATGGAGGCTTTGTGCAGTGGTAGGCCTAGTGCTCTAAGGGGTTTCAATACTAAAACTGCTGGATTTTGGAGTAATGTGGGTAAAACAATGTCATAAACCACCCATGACTGGGAATGGTTTATACCATCTATTTATGTTGATTTGGGAGATGGTTTATGGCATTCTTTTACCCACATTATTTTGGAGAACTGCAATTTGAAGAAAACACCCAGATTCTTTGGGCTAATGCAAAATAATTTATCCAGAAAAGGAAACAACACATGTACCACCGAATTCTTCAAGCTGACATTTTTTCTGCTGATTCCGAGTAGACTTAGGGTTGCATTGGCTAAAAAAAGGGCCTTTCCTCTGCCATGCTCACTAGGCACGGCATCCATGAGCGGAACATACTCAACCAGACGACGTTTTCACGAGCCTTCCATGAGCGGTTTCCCTTCTCTCTGGATTGGTCCCGGAACCTCATATGGAAAAAAAACATGTGTTTCCCTTGCTTCCTGTGACGATATCGTCGTTTGGAAGTCTTTTCAATGATTGAATGTGCCATCAAGTGCATGGAGTGAGGGCCACCAACGCACAAGTCAAATCTAGTCAACATGAAATGTTTGGAACATCTCCTATTTCTGGACGATTTGCCCATTAAAACCCAGGATTTCCAGGAAAATTCTAAGTGCTATGTTTGATGACCAGAGGGTGCTATTTCTTGCTGCCTTGCTCCTCAACTGCCACTCAGTAGGGCCTCCAGCCCCTTGGCTGGAGACCCTGTGGTGGCTCTGGTGCCGGTCTTGGTGCCATGGATGCCATCCACTTCGGCCAGGTCTCATTTCCAACACGATAGTTTTCCCAGAGTTATGGCCATTTATTAGTTATAACTGGTTATAAATGGGATTATACATTCTATAAATGGGGTTTTGTTAGTACTTATAACTGGTAAATGGCCATAACTGCAGAGCTCATAGTGTCATCGACTCCCTCCATACTGCCTGTCCTCAGCGATGTTGATATTTTTGAGCGAAACAAAAGCTGTCCAGCCCGGCCAACCATGACCAAATTCAACGGGGCTCTCCAGCGTGATTTGCCATGCCAGCGGAAAATATATGGTATATGGACCCCAAATTCAATTTTTACTGTGAACAATGATGATAATCCATTGGAAGCTGGGTACCTCATTTTCATCAATCAAACCCGTATTGTAAACAATGGGATTCAAATAGACGTGCAAACAACAACATTTTGTTGTCCAGGGGATTTTTGGTTGATCTTCAGATAGAACTCCCAACCCTGCAATCTGCGCCATGGTCAAGTTACCGATGTTCAAAGGGCATAGTCATCTCACCATGAATGGGGTTCCACATATCCACCTCGATAGGAAAAAAACAATAACAATAGCCCTATCCCATCTCACTATGCTAGTTGATCGATTTAACCGTACTATGTGGTTTGATAATCCCCGTACTAAGTGTAACTCCGTATGAAACTTAAAATCAATCCACCCAGAGAGTTAAACTTTCACGGCTCATGTGACTTGACCAACGAGCGGCGACCAACAAGGGGCACTGGGAATTCACAGCCTCGCATTCTTGCTGGATTGAGCCTGACATGATCCAGCGCAAAATGGGTCTGACGATTTTTTGTGGGAACATGGAATTCAGCCACTTTTTGTTAGGCAACTGAACGCGAACTCGACTGGGGGCCCCATCCTGTAAAATAGGCTGTGAATGGAATATTCATAGGGATTTCATGGGATACTGATGAATGATGGTTATATCTACCATAAACTATGGTTATAAGCTACGCAATAACCCATTTAAGGAGCTATGAAATGGTTATATAAACCATCACTGGTTGGTGGTTTCAACCCCTCTGAAAAATATGATTCGTCAGTTGGGAAGGATTATCCCATATATTATGGAAAAATGTTTGAAACCACCAACCAGTTTGGATGATAATATCCACATTCTTTGTGAGGTAAATCCACATTATGTCCCACTAGATTCCCATGAAATCCCACATCTCCATGTTAATCTAGTGGGACATAAACCATCATTTGGATGTGGGATTTGATGGGAATGATAAACCACTGAACCATCATTTATGGGACAAGTGAGGTTAAACCATCATTTGGATGATAAATTATAATATTTCACTAACCTGAATCTTGCGGCCATATAAGGGGATGAATTCCCGCAATCTAACCATGATTCCAGGGCTCGGAGAACAGTGAGGTCGTGATCAAATTTACCCAGATCATTTGGATGATTATAATATTTCACTAACCTGAATTAAGGCCACTTAACCATAGATTAAACCACTTGTGGCCCTTGTGGCTATCGTTGAATTACCACCTATCAGTTGGAACAACCATCATTTGGATATATCTATTATAGTTTACCCAGATATATTCTACATATATTACATTATTATAGTTACTATTAACCCACTATTAACCCACATTTTATCCCCAATATCATTTACCCAGATCATTTGGATGATAAACCACTGGTAAACGTTTACATAGCTATGGAAAATCACCATGCTATTAATGGGAAACCTCACTATTTCTATGGCCATGGCTTCCAGTTCGCAAACTGCAAACGTTTACCAGAGGGTACATCCCATTAAAATCACCATTTTGTTGGTTTTTCACCCCATTAAACCACCATTAACCCATGATAAAATCCCCAGTGGATGATAAACCGATAAACCACTCAACGCACCTCCATGGGCCAAGGCTTCGGTGGTCGCCTTAGCGGTGGTGGTGCTGCCCACCGTCACCTTGGAGTGCCGTAAAACGGGGCCGATTTTTGCCATGGAGAAATGGGGAAGAAATATGGGGAACAATGGTGGTTTAACATGATTTAACCAGCTGGGTTCTTGTGAGTTGTTAATGTTTCTTTTTTAAAGGAGATATAGTTTATGATATAATATGATATAATGATTAACAAAAATGTAAGAGTAGGAGAAAAAACAACTCCAAATGTGTGTGTTCATAAGCCCGACTGTAGTTATTTCATCACCATAAACCCAACAGCTAACCTATCTATTTCAACCAAGTCATACCAACGATTTGGGGCACCAGCTTGTATCAACTGCTCAGGCCCCTCTACTTACTGCGCCTGCCAAGCAAAACGGGTGGTGACGGGAGTGAAAATTATGATAGTGACAGTGATGATAGTGATACTGCGGATGGTTGCGAAATCCTGCACCATTTGAAAACGGTGGTTTATCCCCCTTTATTTATAGGATTTCACACATCCTTTTGGTGGTGCAGGATTTCGCAACCATCCACAGTATTGACAGACTGATGATACCAGTTTTTTGTGATGGTGAAAGTAATGAAAGTGACAGTGATGATAGTGATGCCAAGAAATGAAACAAGGTGGTGCCCCATAGTTAGCTAAATTAGTTAATAAGTCCAACAACTATAGTTTATAGGTGATACATCTATAGTTAATGGGCTTATAAACCAACTTATAACTGGTGGGGCACCACCTTGAAGGTCTTAGCATCAAGCCCTTCCCTTTTTGCATGTTCTTTATCAAAGTCCTGGGTGCTACTGTGGCCTCTGCAGTGTCTGACTCATCTTCACCATCGGAAAACGTCCCTCGTCTCCAAATTATTTAGCGCTCCGAAAGGGATTTGGTTACGATAAAATGATATCGCAAGCACATGTCCTTGACTTGGCAGCCAATACTGCAGGACCTTTGAGGGCAAGCAAACAAGCAAACATCAGTACCCACAAGTCACAAGACTTACCCAAAGTCGATTCCTTGCACATCAGTGACTTGTGGATACTGTCTCGAAAATTTGATTCTGGAGCCTTCGCCCACACTGGCATGGCTAACAGCCAACTCTGGGCAAACCGGAACAACAAATGCCGCTGTCTTTTGCGTGAAACATACACGCCAGCCATCAACAAGAACTTTGGTTGCCAAAGCCTACACTTTATCAGACTTTATCCTGTGTTTAATCCTGTTTCATACAACTAAACTATGAAAAATCACAATTGGAAATTGCTATTTTCAAAGTAAACTATCCATAAATGGTCCATTTTGGGCGAGTTGCTTGGCCGAACAAGTGGATTGCAAGAGAATCTGCTTGGTGGTTGACCTAGCCCTCTGAAAAATCATGGGTTTCAGCAGTTCGGATGATGATTATTCCCAATATATGGAAAGTCAAAAAAATCCTTTTCCAAACCACCAACCAGATATGCCATTGATATTCCATTATATCCAGTTATATCACCATCATATTCCCTGTTAAAAACTGACTAATGTATTGATATCCCATTATTCCCTGATGAAAAATAAATGTTCCAAACCGCCAAACAGGAATCATGAGTCACTCTTTTATCATCCCAGGAGCCTTGAAAAGTATACCCGTCCCATCGAAATGGTGCTAGGTATGCATTCCTATTGTGGCTTCGTTATCCAAGATGTCATAACCAATCAACCATCATTGGATAAATCTTAACAATTCACCAAGTTGAAATAACATGAAATAAGTCAATGTGGGAATGTTACCCTTACTCAACATCATTTCCGGTGACGTCGCAGTCGTTACAATTACAAGGTGAGGCCTCCCGCAGTTATAAATTAGTTTATAAAACCATTAACTATGGTTAACCCAACACTTAACTAATGGCTTTGTTAACTATTGGAAAATTGGTTAACTATGGTTCTAAGCCGTGCATTCCCCCTAATCAACGCAACGGTTAACCAAGTTATGTCAGGCAACTGAACGCTATCGTAAACGGGGGCCTCACCTCGTCATGTTAATGAAAAACAACAAGGATATCATCAATGGAAATTCCAGGATCCTAAATTGGAGGTACTGTACCATATAAGGCCATATGTTGTGGGGATATTCCCTTACATAGGCCTTACATAGGCCTCATATATGGTAGGTACCTCCAATTCAGGATCCTGGAAATTCCGTTGATATCATTTCATGTCCAATCAGCCAGATACCTTGAAAAAATGACAGATTCTTAGCTGGTGAATGTAGATGATCCCATTGATACCAAGAGACTATTTTGGATTAGTTGAACTACCCATCTACAGGATGGTGCCCAGTGATGTTTGTTGATCTATAAACCCCAATTTTCACTAGCTCATCATATCTAATTACCATAAGCCCAATCGAATTCAGCCACATAGTTTGGCAATTGAACGCTATCGACTGGGGGTCCCATCCTGTAAGATTGACCTATATTATCCCATATTTTATCATGGAATTGCCCATATTAACCGATATTCCCACATATTTTCCAATAGCTAAGTTAGTTTTTCTAAGTCCGATTAATCTAGAGTTGATTAGGATGTTATATCTATAGTATTCATGGGGACTATAAACCAACAAACATCACTAGGAGGGTGCCAAATTTTCCTGAAATGGGGGTACCCCTAAATCATCCATTCTAATGGGAATCTCCATTATAAACCAACCATTTTGGGGATTCCCATAACTAAGGTTTCTAAACCATAGTAAATATAGATATCTCTGCCATAAACCCTACTTATTGGAGTCAATATAACCCAATTTGTTAACTATGGGGCACCACCAATTCGGTACTTAAACATGGCAATGGAAAAGAACTCACCATTCAGAGATGATTTTCCCATTAAAAAAACTCTATATACCATCTGGTTATTTAACAGTTCGCCATGGAAAGATTCACCCATTTTTAATAGGTAAACTATCTATAAACGGGCCATCTATACCATGGCTATGTTAAATAACCAGATGGTATATAGCTAGCTCGGGGATTTCCAATTGCCACGTTTGCTTCACATGGCCCCAGCAGCCCAAAGGGCTCCCCAACATCCACGGTATCGCTGGCCAAACAGCCACGCTCGCTACAGCTGCTGGTGTCCGCCGTCAAAGTTCCGGTCTTAGGACACGGAGGGATGGATGAAGAGCTAATACATATACATACATATACATAC